AACTGGGAGATGAGCAAATCAAAAACTTTGTCACCCCACATGTTGCTAGAGTATCTGAAAAACTTTGAAGGATTTTCTGTAAACATCCCGGTACATTTTCAACCCATCAGATCCTCAGACAGAGACTGATCTATCCCAAAGACAGAATCCCCAGACCCAAAGTGGGTGGTGTGTCTGCAGTCCAGTGCAGTGAGGAATGTTCAGACCTCTATATTGGAGAAACTTAACCTCTCCACAGACGCATGGCTCAACACCTGACGGCAGCTCTTCAGGACAAGACTCAACGGTCCACCTCAGGCTTAGTTCACTACAAGGGACACACTTTTGAGGACCAAAAAAATGTTCACATTTTAGACCGCGACAGATGGTTTGGGGGGGGGAGGCCATTTACTTCAAACGAGAAAAACAACTTTAACAGAGGAGGAGGTCTCGGATTTCAACTTTAAATAACTTACAATGCAGCGTTGGGTCAGATTCAAGGTCAGCTCCATTCCAATTCACACCTTCCTGCAGGTGAGCCAGGCAGACAAAGATCCTAACAAACCTCCATTGAGCGGGGCGAGTAGTTCCAGACTAATCTGCATGTGAATCCTAGTATATAACGAGGTCTCTCATGCTGTTTTATAAAGCTGTGAGCTCCACAAACTCCAGACGTGTTTAAACTGATGAAGCCTCCTGGATGGGAAGTGAAACATCTTCAACTTCAGAATAGAAGTCCAGTGGGTTTTTTTTTTTTTTTTACTTTTTCTTAATGATCATGACCTGGATGACTGAGAATCGTCACCAGAACTTATTGTTTAAATTCTACAAAGGTTCTGTAAAGTCTACATTGGCTGGTGTGTGCTCTGGTATAGTAAATTCTGGTACCATGTAAACTAGACAAATTGCTAACGGAACAGGGTGCATGGGCCAGAAAAACAAAAACGGAACTAAATGAATATTTTATGCATACAAACAACCTGTGATGGGAAAAGATGTGCAAGAAAAGACAAACATTCATTATTTATAAATAAAATATTTTTCAAGAGCACATTTTCTTTGACTTTTCTTTATAGCACAACCTGACCCAACTGTCCATGAAGAGAACTGCAGCGACGCTGGAATAAGCAGCAACAAACACTGAAAGGGTGCTTCAATCTGATGGTGTGGATCAAGACTAACTTACATTTTATTATTTGTATTGTAGAAAATACATGTCCCTGCTCACTGTGAAGTTACTGAAAGACCGTTTATCATATTTGCAGCCAGGCTGTTTTGATCATTTTGCAGAAAAGCTCATTTTTGTGCGTCGTTTGTCAATTGCGAGTCAGGTTTTACGAAGGTGTATTGATATTTTAAAACTAGACTTGTTTCTGAGTGGCCACTTTTTATTAGGTCGTAAATAATTTGTCTCAATAAATGACACAGGATCATTCCTTTACTTTGTTGTATTTTGTATCTCAGTGTGTTGAATCAAACTCGTATCAATCATAATTGAATCATAATTTTGCATTGGTTTTTGCAGCTTATGTACCTTTAATGAACTGGATCCTTGGCAGTACACAGATATGCATCGTACTGGCCACAGCCCAGAGTTGTATAACCCTACTGAGTTACAACTACTAAATTATTGGTGATCCCTGTACATATCAGTGGGTTTGTCTTTGTTTTTCACATTTTAGCACAGAAAATAATAGTAGATATTTGTGATCCCCATTATTGATGGTTTACGTATCAAAACTTTGCTAACAGGCTAATTTAGCTAAGGCATATGACAACGCAACAGTCTTAATATGAAATATGTATTTATGAAAATTGTTTACTTCTTGGCAAACGTTTCTTGGTGTTTGAAAACCTAACCAGCCAACTTTGTTACTGTTCCGTTTAAAGAGGACAAGCGTCTCACTTTGGTTTCTGCACCTCTTTTGAGCTTTACCAAATATTTCTAAACTAGAAGTGACGCAAGAGCTTCCTATACGAAGACAAGTCGTTCAGAGTCGTGCCACGCCGTCACACGCCCCAACCTTACTGTTATAAGTGAGGCGAGTTTTGCTGAAGCACAGGAGCAGGTGCTTCTCGATCTCATCCGCCGCCATGTACTTGGAGCACACCGGGCAGTGGAACCCTGCGGAAAGAAACAAAAACATGAAGATCCTGGTGGGACCTTTTTTTATTGATACACACGTGAGGATGTGGAGCTGCTCAGTGGTGACACCAAGAAAGGTTCAGATATCGGTCAGAAGCTGCGTGGCCTGAGATAAAGTGACCTCTTGAACGCTCCACCTAAAAGGGGTAAATAAATGCATCACATGTGCAGCTGACAGTTATCGCAGCAGCTGCCATCCATGTTTGTGTCATGTGTTTGTAAAAAAGTGTGGAGGCTCCAAACCCAGCGCAGCGCCTCAGTCACATGACTGCCACGACCAAAGGTTGTTGATGAGGCTATCAGCGATTAGACTTCCTCGTTACCTTTACAAGAAATTAGAAAGAGAGCGGAGGGAGGATCAAAACACTTTTGCTGATCCTCTCATGAAACCATGACGTGTGCGGTTGAACTGAAAGCGTTTATACGCTCCCGTTGTGTCGCTTCGACTCCGGCTTTGTTGTGGTCTGATCTGGAGATGTTTAGAAACAGCTAAACTTGCCGATTCAGGAAGTTTGTGTGCGCGTGCGTGCGTGTGTTTCTGTTAGGCAATGTGTAACCAGCAGGAAGCTCTTATCTGGTGACCTACATGGGGCACTCTTCCCTTGAAAAAAAGAAACAACAACAAATAGGAGGCTCGTAGGGCAGCGGAGCCACCTGTGGCTGCAGAACAAGGCCTCCAAGTCATCAGATATGAAACATGTGCCAGGTATCACATGTCACATGGAAAAATACCAACATGTGCTGACATGTCAAAGCATCTGACATCCTGCATGAGCTGAAGTTGAGAGCCTGGAGGCATAAAAACTGAGACAGAGATGATGGGGGAGGGGAGGGGGAGATAACGAATACAGAAAACAAAACTTAAATAATGTTGCAGAGCTCACAAGGAGATAACGATGTTATCAAAGTATTGCGCAATAGCCCCTCTCCTTTTTGAGGGGGTCCCTGGGGTGTCTTACCTCCCAGCAGGCGAGGGGACAGGTGAGAGGGCAGGGACCCTATGAGGAGTCTGTGTGCCTCAGGGCCCCCCAGCTGCTCCTCATCACCGTCTGTGCCGTCGAGGCTCTGATTGTGGGACTCGGACCTTCCGCCCGCGGGGATACTCATCCCGGAGCTGGTGGGCCCTCCGCCGCCCGTGTACCGAATCCGGGGCCCGTCCGGTCCATTTGTGTACCTGAAGCCCGCGATCCTTTCAGCTGCGCCAGAGTTTCCAGAGGGGAGGTCGGAGCTGGAGTAAGCGCGAGTCCTGCCGTCGAGCGCCGGGGCGCTCTGTTTGGCCCCCATGCTGCTCCTCCTGGTTTCCTTTAGAAAAGTTGGGACGCTCTTTATTTCCAGCCGAGACTCATGATGACACAGAAGAGCTGACACCAGGAGGGGAACCGAAGCCACAGAGCTGGAGTTCACGCAAACTTTCGAGGTGATCCAACATGTCAGTTTCACGGCGCGCGCAGTCTGTGCGTAAAGTGCGCATCCGCCGAACTTGTTGTTCAATTGTTCTTAGCGCAGCCCTTCCCCTTTTTAACAATAATGGGGAGAAAATAAAGTGAAGGAGATCACATGAGGCGCGCGCCTGCAGTTCCCCCGCGTCACACCAACAGACGTGCGTGTTTGTCTCGAAGCTCCGAGTTTGTTTTTCTGCTCCTCAGAGGCCGACAGGAAAATAAAAATAAAAGCAGGGACTGCCCTCCTCCTCCCGGGCGGTTTGGTCAAAGTGACCTGACAAACAGCAGATCAACGCGGGCGTCCTTTCAAAATAAAAGCACTATGACTGGAGAGAAGAGGGGGAATGAGCAAACATTTACTTTTCATCTCTATTCCATGCAGTCACACAACTGAGAAATAAAAATATGTAAAACGATATTTAGAGAGAGAAAGTTT